TGCCAACCTAGCAGTTCGAAAGCATGTAAAAATGTGAGTAGATAAATAGGTACCACCACGGTGGGAAGGTAATGGCATTCCATGTCTTGTCACGCTGGCCACGTGACCACGGAAACTGTCTTCGGACAAAAACGCTCGCTCTATGGCTTGGAAATGGAGATGAGCACCGCGCCCTAGAGTCGGACACGACTGGACTAAAGGTCAAGGGAACCTTTACCTTTATGTCTGCATGCTGTAAAAGCCAATTTAATTCTTTAATTCTGTGCTCTGTGAAGAAGTACCATCTTTTGGTTTCTAGTGTTATGAGAACAGTAGAAAAGTTTTCTCGAATTTTATGCCTTTGCCATGTTTTCATTTGTTTGCCTTTTAAATTAGTGCAATATATAATGTCAAACCTGGCTGTTCCGTTGTGACGATCTGGCTTTCTTTTGACAGTAACAAAATCCAAATGTCCCTCCTACGTTGGTATCACGGGCATCGTTCTACAGGAAATGAAACACGTTTTCAAAATTATTACAAAAGAAGACAAGCTGAAAGGTATGTGCTGGGCCCCTCTCTTCGTCTTGACTGATTTCATTTCTGGATGTTGTCATGTCAGCTCATAGATGCCATTGCAAGTGGACATTCATCTTTTGTAGCCCTGAATGCATAAGCAAAACCTTTTGTTACAGAGTTGTGATGTTCATGTTTGAAAAGTAGTCAGTAGCTAATTAAGAGAACTTTTTTTCCGTAATAATAACAGCAACAATAATGATAACCTTAGAACTGCAGAGTTGGAAGGGACCTTGCAGATCATCAGGTCCAGCCCCTCTCAAGGAGGCCCCGTGGGGGATTTGAACTCCCAACCAGATGCCCAAGCCACTGAGCTATCCAGCAGTTCTCTAGATTCAGCACTAAGACAATGGGGGTTTAGCCTTAGAGACTCTTGCAGAGTGCGGGCAGCATACAAATCGAATGAATAAATAAATAAATAAAACTTTGTATACAGCCCAGCATTCAATACTGCCTGATAAAAGGTACCGTATTTTTCGCTCCATAAGACGCACCTTTCCATAAGACGCACCAATTTTTTAGGAGAAGATAACAGGAAAATATAATCTGTTTTCTTCGCTCCATAAAACACACAGACTTTCCACCCCCCTGTTTTGTGGGGAAAAAAGTGTGTCTTATGGTGCGAATAGTGCCTTCTTAATTTAGTTCAGATTTTTTTAAAAAAAATCACAGCCAGTGGAGCATCATGGCCAGAATGTTTGACTGGATCTGGCAAGATCTAGATTCAAATCCCAACGTGGCTGTGAAACTCCTGGGGTGCCTTTGGGCCAGCCACAGTATCCCAACCTGTCCTGCCTCACAAGGTGGTTGTAACATTAAAGTGGGGGGCAAGAGAGAGTCATGGAGGAAAAGGTGAAACATCACTGTAATAAATAAATAATAACTTAATGGAGTGGATGAGGGCAAATGGAGTGAGGTTGAATCCGGATGAGATGGAAATCTGGTGCGTGGGTGCCCCTAGCATCAGGGAGTTGGGAAACTCCCTCTCCTTTTGGGGAGTGGCTCTTCCCACGAAGGTTTGCACCTTGGGCGTCTGCCTAGACCTGGGTCTCACCTTGGAAACCCAGGTGGTATCTGTGGTCCAGGCAGTCCATTTCCATCTTCGGGGGATTGCCCAGCTGCATCCCTGTCTAGACGTGGGGGCACTCACGACACTGATTCATGCCCTCGTAATCTCAATAATAGACTACTGCAATGCTCTCTACGTGGGGCTACCCTTGAGGCTGATGCGGAGACTTCAGCTGGTCCAGAATTCGGCAGCCAGATTAATAGCTGAGGTGAAGAAATTCCAGCACATCTCCCCCACTCTGGCCACCCTTCACTGGCTTCCCACTTCAACTTCAAGGTTATGATGATAACATTCAAAACCCTAAACGGTTTAGGATTTCAGTACCTATCAGATCGCCTGCCAGCCAGATCTGCCCATAATACCCATTCTTCACAGACAGGGCGATTGAGGGCCTTGACCCCAAAGGAGGGTCAAGAGGGAAAGAACAAGAAGCCAGGCCTTCTTGGCTGCCTATGGAACAACCTACCCATGGAGATCCGCCTGGCATCCTCGCTGGATGGGTTCAAACGAGCATTGAAGACCTGGCTCTTCCCACCAGGCTTTCCCGGAGCATTAAGATCTCAGCCTCCTTTTTTACCATCCTTTTTGCCATCCTGTCCATCACCCCCTTTTTACCACCTTCATTACCATCTTTTTAAATTTACCCTATTAGGTCAGCCATTAATTTATTTTTATTGTGTTTTAATAGAGTTGCTGATATTGTTGTTCGCCGTTCAGAGTGGCCTGGTTGGCAGATGGTGCGGGATATAAATTCAATAAAAAATAAATAAATAGCTTTCATTTAGTAGGGACACCTGGCTTCCAAGATAATACTTGGACAACTAATGTGAAATTGAGCTCTTCTGACTGTTTATTCAGTGGCTTTGGAAAAGAATAGCTAATTTTGCCCTTTTTTTGTTTTTGGCTTCATTCGTTCACTAACAATTGAGGGTTTTTCATGCAGAAAAGAAGGTGTGGCTAAAGTCAAGGATGGGCGGGGCCTAGAAGGCAAAACTAGGCAGGGCCAGCTTTTTTCCCCTCTATGTTTCCATCACCTGTATTTTCTCCTGTCCTTTTCCCATCCCTGTTCTCTCTCTCACTCCCTCTTCATCTGCGTGTGAACAGGGTGTTTGGCACTCGGGTGCGGGCCACTTAGGATTTTCCACTGAAATAAAGCTTCAAGCCTAACTGATATATCTTAAATATATTTCTTGGAAGAATGTTGATGACACATGTAACACAGCCACTTAAGTATCTGCTATTCTGTTTCTCCGTTGTGGTTCTCTCTCTGTTTCCCTCTTTGTCCTCTGTTGCTTGTGTGTGTGTGTGTGTGTGTGTGTGTGTGTGTGTGTGTGTGTGTGTGTGTGTTTTCAGCCCTTTGGGGCATGTTGCTTGCTTTTCCATCTTTATAAACACCATATACAGTCAACCCTCGACTTACGAGCTTAATCCATTCCGGAAGGAAGTTTGTAAGTCAAAAAGTTCGTAATTCGAATCATCATTTCCCATAGGAATGCATTGAAAACCAATTAATCGGTTCCGGCTGTTTTTGGTTCATAGGTCGGGGGCGGTTTGTAAGTCGAAGCATTAGCTCCCATAGGAACTAATGCAAAGCCAGTTAATCCATTCCTACCACTAGGGGCAGATTTTTTTTTTAAACCTAAGATGGCGTAGGTTTAAAAAAGGCAGGAAACCACAGAGGGAACGAACGAACGCTCTTTAAAAAGAACACTTTTTAAATCAAGCACCTTTTACACCAAATCAGGCACCTTTTCAACCAAGAACCTTTTAAATCAAAACAAGCAGCTTTTAATGTAACCAAGCACGTTTTTACCCAGGCAGGTTTTAATTCAAACCAAGCTCCCTTTTACCCAACCACCATTTAACTCAAACAAAGCACCTTTTAAACTAAAATTTACATTTAAAAATGACAATACCGGGCAGTCCCAGGTCTCTCTTCCCACTCTCTAACCACTTGGACGAGCGAGGAAGCAGACAGGCAGCCTCTTCGCTAACTGAACGTTCAAATTTTCTGCTTTCTCTGCCTTCCCCGTACTTTTTTTCGGTTCGTAACTGGAATCCAAGTTCGCAAGTCGAGTCCATATTTCCCTATCGGAGCGGTTCGTAAGTCGAAATGTTCTTAACTAGGGCCGTTCGTAAGTCGAGGGTTGACCGTACAAGAAAAGTGGCACTACCACATTAAAAGACCTCTCTACATAAAGTTATAATCTTGTGTTAAGTTTCTGATTCTTGGCTTTTCTTTCAGTGATTCCAAAGCTTAACAGTGTCTTCAGCATAGAGCTTGATGGCTTTGTATCCTACATCTATGGCAGCAGAATCCAGTTCCGAGCCAGCGAACGCTCAGCAAAGAAATTCAAGGGAAAAGGAACACTTGATCTCTAGCTTTTTCTGAAAATTCAAGGAATGGTGCATAACTTCCTTCAAATGGAAAGTATTCATAGCCGAGAATTCAAAACAAAAGCAGTGTGTATCAGAGGTCTTTCTTAATGTATGCTTTATGTTTTTGTATTGTGTAAATTATTTGTTTTTAAACTTATTGTTAAGTAAAATTTTTCCACCACCTTGCATTCCATTGCTTTATTTCAAGGGCAGCGTTGGTAGTTCATTCTTTCATATTTCTCTGTTAACTCTCCAACTTATCTAAGCCATTCCATTGCTTTATTTCAAGGGCAGCGTTCTCTGTTAACTCTCCAACTTGTCTAAGCATGTAAAATGAAGCATTATTGAAGTAACTTGAAATTACTTCAAGTGCTTTTTAAATGCATTTTCTCAAGATTGTCTCATGGACTTTTTTCAGATAATGAATGGTAGCTTTGCAGTAGGAAATCAAGAGGTACAAGGCATTGTGTTATTGTTTGGCATGCGCAAGTGAACTCTCAGTTGGGCTGGTTTGCCATCTTTGCATAAAAGAAGCCCTGTGGGAGTGTTTGTAACCTACCTGGTCATACTACAGTGGTGCCTCGCTAGACGATGATAATCCGTTCCGCTGTTTAGCGTAATCATTGTCTAGTGAAAAGCATTTCCCCATTGGAATGCATTGAAACCTGTTTAATGCGTTTCAATGGGAAAGAATCATCGTTGTCTAGCGAAGATCGGCCATAGGAAAGCCGCTTTGCGAACCGCCGATCAGCTGTTAAATCGCTGTCTTGCGAAGCTTAGGTCATGAAAACACCTGTTTGCGAGCGTGAAGGGAACTGTCAGAAGACCAGCAGTTATAAGATCAAATCCCTGCAACAGAGTGAGCTCCCGTCGCTTTGCCCCAGCTCCTTTCCAACCTAGCAGTTCGAAAGCATGTAAAAATGCGAGTAGATGAATAGGTACCACCTTGGTGGGAAGGTAAACGGTGTTCTGAATCTAAGTCGCGCTGGCCACGTGACCACGGAAACTATCTACAGACAAACGCTGGCTCTACAGCTTGGAAACGGGGATGAGCACCACCCCCTAGAGTCGGATGCGGCTGGAATAAATGTCAAGGGGAACCTTTACCTTAGAAATAGAGATCCCCGGGGAAGAATAGCTATAAATTCCCCAAAGTCCACCCTTTTCTCGTTAATTAAAGTCTCAAGGTCTCACTCTGAGATAATTTTAGGAGAAAGAATTTTAAGAAAAAAATTTCATACCATTATTTGAAATTACTGACTTGTGTATGTTGCATTCTTTACCTCACTCATATTGGCAACCAACTGAACAGACCAACAACAAACGAAAGAGAGGAGAAAAGATACTCAGCGAAGAGGTGGGGCTCTCTTTGAATTCAAGGAAAGATTGATTGGTGCTGGATAAATAGATAATCATCCTCGGCCTAGAAAAATCCCTCCCAGTCACTCAAACCACAGACCGTATGCAAGATCTAAATAAAATTCCAGTAGATACACAAGGATTTGAGACCAGCACTAAGACTTAGGCCACCATTCAGTTGACTGTACTTCTGTACATTCAGATTAAAGGAAGGGAAGGTCTCTAAATGGCATGAATTGTTCCGATGTTTCTGGTTTTTGAACAACAGCCCAAAAAGGAATAGCATTGTTTGCGATAATTCTCCTCAATTTCCGAAAAAAAGGCCCTTTTCACAGTTTGAGGAGTAGATGTTTACTGCTGAATATATCAAGAGAAGGAGGGAGGGAGGGAGAGATTATGTAAATATAGTCCATCTTCAGAAGCTGGAACACCTCCCACATGTTTCACAGGAGCGTCCTGTTAAACCATGTAAACTCCTGTGTCGGTCTTCAAATTGAGATGGAAAATAACTCTTTTGATACCCTTATAAACAACATGGCTTGCAGGCTTTGTAATGGAAAGTTTCTTCCATTGTTTTCCCCTTTGCGGTGGAGAAAGGGAGGGAGTGGATGCCCTCCTGAGCACAATTCTCAAGAGTAAATGTGTGCTTCAAAGATTAAGCAGACTGAAATTAAAAATACGGGCTGCCCATTGACACCGAAATGAAAGAGAAGAAGCAAGGCATTCAGTGGGATAGGATTATAAATAAAGACAAGGCTGAGCATATGCATTTATTTGCAAGAAAAACACCACATGCATAAAACATTACATTTCAGTGCCTCCTACCTTAAAAATAGGTTCCAGCCTGTATGGCCTGAAGGGATGGCAGGGTGGACTTTGATGCTGTAATTGATCACACTTTTTGATCTACAAAACGCTTCACTTTCCTAACGACTTTGCGTTCCGGCAGCCCTCCAGGTGAAATGTAAGAACTTAAAAACAGGCCTGATGGATCTTACCAAAGACCTATGTAGTCTGGGCTCTCCTTGCCAACTGCGAATGGAATATGAGGGCAATCAGCCCTCTTTTGCTTTTGAGCAACAAATTCTAAGATGCATACTCTCTGTCGAAGCCTTCTGTGCCTCCACAAGAGCTGCCGTAGATGGTGTGTGTGTTGGGTATGTTCTGTGCCATCACATCAGAACTGTCTTGTAGCCACCCTAACAGGGCTTTCAAGGTAAATGAGATATCTAAGGAGTGTTTCAGAGTTTCACTCCCCCAGTGAAGTTCCAGGGCCAAGTGGGGATTCAAACCCTATTCTCCAGAGTTTGAGTTTGTCACTCTATCCACTACACCATGCTGCTCTAGGGTTGCTATATTCCTGTTCTCCAAATCTGGGTGACCTTATTTGTATTTGATGGAAATTTGCGTATTTTGCAATTGAAGCACATTAATTCTTGCGGTGTACTTAATTGCCATTGTGGTCATTTCTGGACCTAGTGCAGTCCATTGGGGGGCGGCTGGGGGCATGAATTTGGCCCTCAAGCCCTCAGGCCTTTGCCACCCCTGATTTATGTAGTCATCACTAATCTGAGAAAGCCAGTATAGTGTTAACGATTAGAGGGGTGAATTTGAAACAGGGAAACCCAAATTTAATTCCCTTGCTTCGTCAAAGAGCTTACTTTGGCAAATCAGTAAGTCTTGGCCAAACCGACCATAAAAGGCTGATCTGAGGATAAAACAAGGTGAGTGGGGCCATGTGAAGCATCTGTGTGCATTGCTGGTGTTTATAAATAAACTACATTTTGCTACACAAAAGGACTGAATGTGTGAGGCTGAAAATGTGTATGTCTCACACCAAGTGACAATCCAGTGTGGTGCCATCTCCATTTTATTTCCTTATCTCCTGAATATAATTTCTTGCCACCCTCCACCCCACTCCAATGTGTTGTTTGATTTTAAATTCTTTTAAATATCATATGTTTTTAAATGGTTCTATACGTTTCATAACCTGTCCTGAGATCCTATGATACGGTAAAGGTAAAGGTTCCCCTTGACATTTAGTCCAGTCATGTCCAATTCTAGGGGTTGGTGCTCATCTCCATTTCCAACCCATAAAGCCAGTGTTTGTCCAAAGACAATCTTCCATGGTCACATGGTCAGCGTGACTAGACACAGAACGCCATTACCTTCCCACCGTGGTGGTACCTATTTATCTACTCGCATTTTGCATTTTCACATGCTTTCGAACAGCTAGGTTGGCAGGAGCTGGGACAAGCGACGGGAGCTCACTCCGTCACGTGGATTCAATCTTAGGACTGCTGGTCTTCTGACCTTGCAGCACAGAGGCTTCTGCGGTCTAACCCGCAGCACCACCACGTCCCTTCCTATGATATAGGGTAAGCTATAAATGTTTAAATAAATACATACATAAATGCTGATTCAGAAATTCTTGAAGTTGGAGTCCAGAAAATAACTTTCGTAAGCTTTGCCGTGGGGCAGGGATGTGCAGAAGGGAGCCTACAGATCGCATGTACCCCAAAACAACATTTTTGCCTGGGGCCAGGTTTTGACTTTTCTCACCTCCGGTTCTCTAAGGTTCCCAAACTGTGTGCGGTGACACCCAGGGGGGCCACCAAACCCAACCAGGGGTGTTGTGGAATCTTCGGAATTCAGCAGGAGTACTCGTACAGTGGGGTCTTGACTTGAGAACTTAATCCATATTGGAAGGCGGTTCTCAAGTCAAAAAGTTCTCAGGTCAAATCTGCATTTCCCATAGGAATGCATTGAAGACCATTTGATCCGTATCTGCTCTTTTCCGTCCATAGAATCTAATGGGAAGCTGCTATTCCGCCTTCGACCACTAGAGGGGGAATATTTTGTTTCTTTTTTTCTTAGGTCAAGAAAGGTTCAGGGAAGGCAGGGAAAATACAGTCCAGGCAGTACAGTACCAGGCAGTCTGAAGACTGTCTCCCAATCCACTCTCTAAACGCTGGGAGGAGTGAGGAAGCAGACAGGCACCCTTTTCACTGCCCAACAGTTAACTGAAAGTTCACATTTTGCACTTTCCCTGCCTCCCACGTGGTTTTTTTCAGTTCTTAACTCAAATCTAAGTATGTAAGTCAAGTCAATATTTTCCTATGAGAGTGGTTCTTAAGTCAAAATGTTCTTAACTCGAGCCGTTCTTAAGTCAAGACCCCACTGTATTTAGGCCAGGCTCCCCACCCTCCCCATCACCCAACGGATCATATTGGGGGAGCCACAGCCAGTGACCAGTAGGCAGTAAGTCAAAGAAGCCGTGATTAAAAAAAGTTTTGGAACCACTGCTCTGAGGGCTAGAGGCTTCTTCCAAAAATTGCACTTCTTTTTTATTTTTCTTCTCCTAAAAGAATTCCAGGTTTTGCACTGGTGGGGTACAACTCCATTTCCTGATTATTTGTTTTTAATACACTTCTTGGCTTGTTGAACATCTCAGGCCAAAAAAATTGGCTTCCCCTTCCCAACCAAGTTGTCTTCCCTTCCTCTGCTGAAGATCAACCGTAGATTGCCAAATTTCTCCTGAATTTCTAAAGAAAATTAAAGACACCTAAAGCCCTTTTCTTGCAGCAAAAAAAAAGAGATACCCCGCACAAGTATACAAAGTAACAGTTCTGTAAACAAAACAATTAAATAATTCCTGAACAAATATCAGTAATTCAATTAAAGTAACAGTTCCATTAACAAACAGACTGATGGAGATTCTTTGTTGTTATGTCAACAGTTAAGCAGCTAATAAACATTTGATTAAAGATTGTCACTAAAACGGTCAAAAAGTAATGAAGTGTAAACCCGCTGTCTGATAAATTGCA